AGAAGAGATTGTTTTGACTCTCAAATATCTTCAAATTGACCATCTCGACATCAAGATGCATTGACATGAGGAAACAATGGATTTCAAGTTTTAAAAATAGTGTATTTTGTAATACATTTTTTGATTGTCAATTTTCAAGTTTTCATAGATCTGTCGATCTACACTATTTTTGAAGCTTTAAACTTTATAAATAAATATGAAAATATATTTTAAAGCTATCACAAAGATTTCCAATATTGAAACCACATTCGATCTAAAAATCGGATATGCTATTAAAACAGTAGAAGAAACTTTATCTGTTACAAATAATCAAGAAGACTTTCAATTACTATCTCAAAAGATATTACAAGTCCATAAAACAAAAAACTATAAATATTTACATATAGGATTAATTCAAATAGCTGTAAAACCCTTGACTCGTTTAGGACTAAATAATTCTATCCTAGTCTGCTTAAGCGATACTAGGCATAATAGAATGTCTGATTCACTGCTAGGTATGGTTGAATCTAGTTTATGTAGTGGACCAATATATTTCAACTGTTTTCCAAATTATTCTGTATCTCTTACAGATTCAAATATTTTAAATGTTTTATCTTTAAATATCAAAACTCAAGGATTTAATATGATGACGGGTTCTTAAAACATAGCCATTGTTCAGCGAATTTATTACAAAGTAATGACTACATTATGTCCAAATGTACTCCAAATAGATACGAGAGGACAAACAATATTTTTTCAAACCAATATGGAAAAATCAAATACAATTATACCAAAAACAATATCATGGTCAGATATTGTTCTACCCAAAACATGGTCTATCCATAATGAAAACCAACCATCACAAATATCTACTCAAAATATTCCAGACAAAATTATTGAATATACAGACGGAAATATTGAAATACAGTTCACCACAAATAATAGAATTCCTCCTATCATAAATATTCCATCAACACCATCAAAACCACAAATTGATGGACTCCTACGAACGTCTGATAATATCATTATTCCCTAATGCAAAGAAGCTCAAGAAGAACCTGCTGAAGCAGAGTTCATTCAAGTATTACAACTTGAAGAAACATCAGATAAAGAATACATCATAAAAGATTTTACATCTCCATAAAATAAAAACATCAGAGAATGGTATGTAGCAGAATTTGAACCCAGATTAGTGGAATTATTTCACATAAGATTTAATAAATGGAGAAAAAAGGAAAATAAAGGAACATGCTTTTTCGATTGGCTAAAAGACATTTTAACCCAAAAAGGTATTCCTATTCCTAATTTTGAAATAAATACACTAGAAACTCAATATACAGTATTTAATACTACTGAAGGAAATACAATTAAAGCCATACATCCTCCTGAATAAAGCTTGAAAATACAAGGAATTGCTACTATGGTATCAGCTACTAAAACCTCTGCTACTCCAGAACAAAATATAGGATCCTCATCCTCATCCTCAAACCAAATGGTTGTGTATGAAACAGTAGCTACACCATATAAACTCAATAATGCAAATATAGCTCGTATAGATTTACTTCCACATATAATTGAACAAAATAATTATACAAATCTCTGCCTCCATACACTTGGACAACAAACTAATAGAATAGAAAACTTATTACATCCTCCCATTTATAAGGAGAAAAAACAATTATTTTTTAAACCTCTTCCTGACCTGAATAAAGAAAAATTTCATATAGGCGATGATAATAAAACACTTATGGATCAATTAATCTCCAAATTATCCAAATTAGAAATAAAAGATCCCAAACAAACAATTGTTCTACCAGACAATGATAAAGGAAAGGCAAAAATCCCTTAACATGATAATATGACTCTACAAGAAGAAATATTTTTCCAAACCAATGAAACCATGGAACCACCAATTGCCAACACAATAAAAAATATGCAAACAGCGTTTTCTGAAATTCAAATTACTCCAGATACTATAAATCGAATCAATTACAACAAAAATTGGCAACCAATAAATGCCCGACCATATTATAAAAGACCAACCCCAATTGATATCCAATTAGAAGAAGACCTAACAAGTCATACTTCTACATATACGGGTCGAACGATTATAGATTGGAATATTGATGGAATTTCTGATCACCGAATATTAGATACAATGAAACACATGACTATGTATGCTTCGACATGTAAAATGGCTGGTAGCCATGACCAAGAAATAGCAAAAGCTATAGTCTCAAGATTCACCGGATGGTTAAGAGGATGGTGGGATTCCTATCTCAATGAACAAACAAAACAACAAATATTAACTAATACTCGACAATGGACAGCAAAAAATGAACACAACCAGGATATGGTATATTCTGAAAGTGATGCTGTCAATTCCGTAATCTATACAATTGCCCTTCATTTTATAGGGAATACTTCAATACTTACAGCACGAACTGCTGATCGTTTATCTAATCTACGATGTCCTACACTATCACACTACAAATGGTATAAAGACGTCTTTTTCTCTCGATTACTCATACGCGAAGATAGTCATCTTGACCATTGGAAAGAAAAATTCGTAATAGGATTACCTTATCTATTTGCTGAAAAGGTTAAAGAACGTCTAAAAAATAAAAATAGTGGTGTAATCAATTACTCTCAATACACTTTAGGAGAATTATCTTCAGAAATCGGTGCTGAAGGCTTAGCCCTATGTACAGATCTGAAACTCAAAAAGCAACTTGATAAACAAAACTTGTAAAAAAGAGTTAGGAAATTTCTACCAACAATTTGGCTATCATATGGATCAAACTCATATAGATAAAACTAAACCACATAAAATACATAAAATATATAAAAAGAAAAAACATCGTAATAAACTCGAAAAAACACAAAAGTCTTTTCCAACCAGACAGAAAAAATATAGAAAATTTACGAAACGTTTTGCTTCCAAATCATCCCAACAAAATAAAAAGAAATTACCTGTTTGTTATAAATGTGGCAAAGTCGGCCATTATAAAAGCCAATGCAAAGTCAAACAAAAACTAGACTCCCTTACATTAGATGAGTCTATCAGAAATAAAATTTATAATATTATTCAAATATATGATTCGTCGGATAGTTCCTATACAGACACTACTTCCTCAGATTATTCAAATATATGATTCGTCTGCTAGTTCCGATACAGACACTACTTCCTCAAATTATTCAAATATATGATTCGTCTGATAGTTCCGATACAGACACTACTTCCTCAAATTATTCAAATATATGATTCGTCTGATAGTTCCGATAAAGACACTACTTCCTCAAGTAGTGATACTTCTTTCATAAGAACAATATATAATGATGATTTTTATTGGTCAGATATTAGTTCTAGTACAGAAAACGAAATATATCAATGTCCTATTACAACTTCTGATATTCATACATTAACAAAAGAAGACAATCTTATTTTAGATTTAATAGAAAAAATATCTGATCCTGACAAAAAAAAAGAGAAATAATTACTCAGTTTATCAATTTAACTAAAACAAAAACAAAACATATGCCATTAGTTAAACCTCCTGATAATTATAATTTTTCTGATATCATGAAACGTATCAGTCAGCATGAAGCCACCCAAAAAGAACTTACTATTGCTGAACTCAAAGCCGAAGTCAATATAGTTAAGGTAGAATTATCCCAATTAAAAAATAGAATTCAAATCCTTGAACTCTATGACAATACCTCCGAAATAGATACTGATACAGATGTCATAGAATTTAACCGTTTACTCAAATCATAT